TAACGTAACTAATAAGTAAGTAAGTAGTAAGTAAGTAGTAGTCGTAGTAGTAGTTACGTTAACGTAGTATTAGATATATATATATTCTTTTNTTTTTTTTTTTTTTTTTTTTTTTTTTTTTTTTTGGAATCATTACATAAAAACATTTTGCAACTGCTAAAGCTTTCCATTATTTATGTTGCACTATGACACTCGTTAGTTCCTCCATGAAAGGCTTTTTCATGAACGCATAATTTTTGGTTGAATCTTCTCTTAGGATGCAATTTTTTAAGAATTGAAGTTGCTAATAACAGGTTTCATCTTTCGTGTTCAGTGCTTAGAGAAACAATCTAAGGACGTGACAATGAATTCTCATCTAGAAGAAAAAATCAATAACTGGAGAAGTAATCAGTTATTGCTAAAGGAGAGAATAGTATTCACTTCGAAATTCAAGGATGTTGATTCTATAAGATACATAGCCGGGTTGGATATATCTTTCGACAAGACAAGCCCGAAGGCTGTTTCGGCTATTGTCATTTACGATCTTCAAAATGCTCAGGTTATATACAAAGATTACTTAGTTATTGATAACCTCAGAGAAGATTATGTCCCTGGCTTTCTGTCGTTTCGTGAGATTGAATATTATTTACCTTTACTAAAAAGGATTCCCCCTAGTTATTGCTTTGACCTCATAATGGTTGATGGAAACGGTATTTTGCACCCAATACGTACGAGAAAATTAAATTGAGACATAGCTAATTTATCAACCAGAATTCGGCTTGGCATGTCATTTAGGTGTTTTAACCAACTCACCTACTATGGGTGTAGCGAAAAATTATTTCCATTGTTTTGGACTAAATGAATCTTTAGACGACCATAGACAACATCTTTCAAACTACATCTCGACTAACACCAGCAAACCCCCTTTATTCTTGTATTCTATCGGTGAACCATCCATTGTCCTAGGAGCTGCAGTTTGGACAAGAAAGGAATCCAAACGACCTATATATGTAAGCATAGGAAATCAGATAAGTTTGGATATCGCAATTCAATTGGTGTTTCGAACCAGCGGCGTCGTCAGCAAAATTCCAGAACCGATCCGGCAAGCTGATATATTTGCAAAATTTGTGATTCATGAGCAAGCTTGTAGCAAAAAGGAGTAAACGTTCATACACACTATAATGGCGTACTATTGTTAGTCTATGTTGCAATAATGAAATGATTTGAACTATATAAAAGGTACTTAAATTAGCATTAATTAATTCACCCCTAAACCAAATCTAATAAATCATACAAACATAAGGGAACCTAACGAAGAGAAAAACCATCCTCTGGGTATCATAAAAGGTACAAGGAAGACATGAATAAAATGAAATAAAAACCAAAACAAAAAGCATGAATAAAACATAAAAGAAAGAGACAGAAATACATGGGATCAAACTTGTAAAATACAGGCAAGGAAAACAGCAAGGCAATTATACAGGAGGCATCTGTATAGCGTGCTCATAGGGGGGAGGACTCGGCCCAACACTACTAAACATAGGAGGGCATTCTTCATCCCAACTCACGCCAAGACCACCTCTTTCTGTAAGAGGCAAGTTAACCTTCATTCTCAAAATGCGAGCATTTGAATTGACTGGGCGTGCGTTAATTTCCTCCACAACAATCGTCTCAAATATCAACTGGTGAGCTATCGAAAGGCTATATTGACCATCCAACGTAACATCGCATATAGGTTTCGATAAAAGTGAAGTACTAACAGGTATTTCAAACAATATACGATCGCCATCGACCTTCCACCCAGTTCTGTGTTCGTCGTTTCCCAACAATCTAGTTTCACGATATACATGTGGTTTTCGACTTCCTTCATGTTCCGTGCATGGGTTAATCTGAGCTTTGATTTGCTCCTCTATCCGCCAGGATACTTTTGACAAATGCCATGAATATTTTGTATTTTGAGGCCTACATCCAGTAAGCTGAAATTGTATAGGGATGCAGCTTAGAGCGTGGATCACCGGAGGCATCTCCAACAACGCGACTAGAGAAGTAGGAGGAAAGAGGCGTTGAGCGACTTTGTCAGTGTTTAAAATAATCGATCGCTTTATGTTTAGCGTGTGCTCAAGTTTTACATTTGAATTAGCAGAAACATCACTGGTTACTGTAGCCAAAAGAAAGTATCGGATATTAACAAATGGGGATTCTGTCGTTTGAGGGAAATGCCCCGGGATAATAAAACTAAATGGCCAGGTATGCGTACCATGAGAAAAGGAGAATGTACTTGAAGAAAAATTCCAACTTTCAAGGACATCAACAATTGCACGACAATTGGGACAGCTCTCACGGACAGGATTTTTTGTATGTAATACACGCATGAATTTCAAATTGACAGAATTGGTTTGAATAGCATGTTCAAATACCGTCATCTTTAGAAGACCTGATGCTAGGGCGCCAGAGGATACATCCGGAGCTCCGTACATAATCAAAGGAGGTGATTCCATCTGAACGTCTAGTTCAAGAGGTCGGTCAGCTGAACTTGAAGATACATTAGAACGACGAATAAAAGAAGGCATCAATAATAAAAACGTCGATATTGTAGGTGTTTACCACCGAAATAATTGAATCTCGAGAGAAAGAACAGGAAATCGTAAGATATATAGAGTCTTTATGCAAATACAAATCAATATTATTTTTCTCGTTTTTTGATATAAATCCTACAATGAAGGTTAGATCTATGTTATGAAAAGAGAAAAAATAAAGGATAAGTAAATCGAGCGATAGTACCCCTCATAACAGAGAAGAAAAAAATGAAAATATTCTCATACCTTACGATAAATAACAAACGTAGATGAATAAGAAGATTAATCTAATAAGATAGAAACAAAATTCCAATTCTCTTATTCTCTTGAAAACTCCAATTCTGTTTACTTTCTGAAGCAAATGAACGACAAGTGTGAAATCCTACCAAAATCAAGTGATGATTTTAGAAGCGAATGCAAGGTAAAAATTTCCTTTAAGAAGTTATTTTTCGACTTCTTATACAGTGAATAACAGCCAATTGCCAAGGAAATTTCACTTGCTACGCGGACTAGGTCCCAGCAGGGTATTTGCTAAAAGATACTTATTGCAGGCGTGGAAAATACGACCACATTTAAGCTCTCCGCACTGTAGGCCTGGGTATACCACGGTACTCCCGCTGCATTTCCGATACTTCGAATGTATTGTAATATTATATAATAAAGTATTATCAGTTGAAAAAAATGTAAACAAAGGGAAAGCAAAGCAAGGGTTATGTAAAATACATTCTGTGAGGTATTCAAAGTAGGTTCCTCTAGTCGAATAAAGAAGAAAAGAACCTTATAAGATTGTAAAGGACGATTGTAAACTTATTCTTGTACAGACCCATATCTGGAAATATAGAAAACAAAAATGGTATCTTTATTAAGAAGAACTATAACAAGTTGTTAAAGTCTTCAACAAGTGGTGTTGATGATAGCTTGAATACTTAAACATCTGGTTTCTACGTTGACGGATACACCTCTGCTGCTTTTCCCTCGACACCTTAGTAGTGTATCGTTAAACTATCAAGGCAAGAGTAAATGATTTTCACCTATGTTAATTTTTTTTGCTTACAAACAATTCTAGCATTCTTACGGTTCATAAATTAGTTGATACCAAATAATCTCCTATCACGAACAAACTTCCTGCATAAAGAGAGTGTGTGTTATTTCCTTTTTGTTTTTTCCGTCACTTGAAAAATGTCTTCTTACACCGATACCGTGAACTGTATGTTACAGCATCCTGCCGGCATAGATAAAATTGCTGCATTAATCGTAAATGTTGCTCGTTTAAATCCCGTTGCTAGTAAGGCAAACAGCGAACTGGTTTCCATGTTGAACGAGTTCCGATGTATTCTACGCCTACCTGGATTGTACAAGCTTCTTGTAAACTTTGACCGTAGGGATTCCTTAGAATCCCACTTGAGCACTGCAATAAATGTCTGCTACTATCTCACAGAAGGCCTTGCATTTTTGGGAAACAAGCAAATTGTTCCAATGTCCAAGACTAGAGAAGACCAGCTATCGCTTATTTCTTGCCGTTTTTGGTTATTGGATACCCTGTTAACTGTTTATCAATTATATAAAAAAGTTCGCAACACTCACGATAGACAAGATGAATTGGACCTGGCTGCCAATGTCGCTAGCCTCCCCCTGTGCATCCACTGGTCTATAGGCAGTGGACTTGGACTTAGCAAGCAACAAATAGGTATCTTAGGACTCTTCAGTACTGTTGTTCAAGTACGAAAATTACTTAGGGCTTTAAATGATAAGAAACAATAAAGTGCTGAAATTATACGGTTTTTTACTTAAAAATACATGACTTACAAAAGCAGTAAAGACATTCTTTCTCAATCCTGGTATCACTCGAATTTCCGATTTCATTGAAGAATAATACTTGGTGAAACTGGGTTAATTATACATCTATTATTTACTTTACAAATTACGTCCTACCTCCAATAAACAGTTCCTCATCCTTCCTCACAGATGCAAAAACTTATGCTACTCTCATTCTGTGCCTGTTTATCACATTTAGCTTTCCATACTAAATAACCATGAACTTGCATATTCGATATATTTTCTCTTGTGACCAGAAACCCTAACCTACTGTGACCGGTTTTCCCTCAACGAGGAAGGAAGAGACTGGCTGTAACAATTTTTCATCCACAATCACCACCATGCTTTTGTTCAAGGACGCTATTTCTGGGGATGAGCTCGTTTCTGATGCCTATGACTTGAAGGAAGTCGATGACATCGTCTATGAAGCCGATTGCCAAATGCTCACCATCAAGCAAGGTGGTGATATCGACATTGGTGCCAACCCTTCTGCTGAGGATGGTGCCGACGCTACTGAAGAGGGTACCGAAACCGTCAACAACCTTGTCTACTCTTTCCGTTTGAACCCCACTAGCTTTGATAAGAAGTCTTACATGAGCTACATCAAGGGTTACATGAAGACTATCAAGGGTCGTCTCCAAGAAAAGAACCCTGAGCGTGTTCCCATCTTTGAGAAGAAGGCCGTCGAATATGTCAAGAAGATCTTGGCAAACTTCAACGACTACGACTTCTTCATTGGCGAAAGCATGGATCCCGATGCTATGGTTGTTTTGATGAACTACCGCGAAGATGGTATGACTCCTTACATGACCTTCTTCAAGGACGGTCTTGATGCTGAGAAGTTTTAAGCTTCAAAACAAATCTTTTGGGGTTATATTACAAGGTGATAAGTAGTCTGAAAACATGTTATTTACGACATAAATAATACTACTTCCATAATATGCATTTTCTGCACAACGAAAATGAAGGGTTATAAATACAAGAAGTCGCTCTTCAGTAGTACTTTAAAATTGGTTTCATTAATATACTATCGTTTACTCCTTGACATCTTTTGTAGTCATAAGCTTTTCGAATGTAGTAACTAGAAGAGTAGGCATTGAATACGTAGTTGCAGCAGGGTATGAGTGTTCATATACTGGTATATCTTTGAAAAATGTTACAGCATGAATATGATCGCTTCTGACTTTCTTAATATCAGTAACAACTATACTGTTCATTCTAACCATTGTATTAGAAGCACTTTGAGTAGGTCGTTTCAAGCATTTCAATTTGTTTTCTTTTAGCTCAAATATTTGAAAAGGACTTTTATCTTTAAAGAAGAATCCTTCTTACAAACGATCCCCAGATGAAGTAAGCTCTCCAGTAGTATTTACCAACTACCACTTCCTTTGACAAGGTCATGACAGACATTCACGAGACTCAAAAGGGAGCTCTTGTATGATAATAACGAATTGATATTTTTTCATAAGTTTCTTTACTAATCCTACTGTCCATAGAAAGAAATTCAGGCTTTCATTCGTTCTCGAACAAGTTACGATGTTTTGCCTACTTCATTTCGTCTGATTGTTTTCGATGTTACGCTGTTTGTAAAAACATCATTGTCGCTCCTTGCTTTAAACAGTGAGTATTCAAACATTCTTATCTGATGTTAAGCCTACGGTTGCTGAAGCTAACTCTTTCAGACATTGTCAGTGCTCCGTTGTGGGATAGCGAAGCAAATAGATTTGCTGGTCTGTTAACTATGGCAGACTTTGTTAATGTTATTAAATACTACTATCAAAGTAGCTCTGTTCCGGAAGCCTTGGCTGAAATCGATAAATTCCGTCTTTTGGGACTTCGCGAAGTTGAACGGAAAATTGGTGCTATTCCTCCTGAAACCCTTTACGTTCATCCGATGCATAGTTTAATGGAAGCATGTCTAGCTATGTCCAAGAGCCGTGCAAGACGTGTGCCATTGATTGATGTTGATGGCGAGACAGGAAGTGAAATGATTGTTTCTGTCTTGACTCAATACAGAATTTTGAAATTCATCTCCATGAATGTAAGTATGCATTTTTTTCTATCAGTAGTAACTGTCTTCTAGTGCAAAGAAACATCCATGCTCCGGGTGCCACTCAACGAATTACGAATCGGGACTTGGTCAAATCTTGCTACAAGTACGATGGATACGAAGGTTTACGCAGTAATTAAAACTCTTGCAGAGCAAGCTATCTCTGCTGTCCCAATAGTTAATGATGAGGGTATGCTTAAACGCTTTCCTTTAAGTAATTACTAATCATTTCTATTAGGGATCCTAATAAATGTTTATGAATCTGTTGATGTTATGCATTTAATTCAAGACGGCGACTATAATAATTTAGATCTAACTGTGGGAGAGGCACTTTTAAGAAGACCATCGAATTTTGCAGGTGTACATACTTGTCGCGATACTGATCACCTTGATGGTATTTTTGATGCTATAAAACATTCTAGAGTGCATCGACTTTTTGTTGTCAGTGAGGATTTTCACCTTAAAGGTATTTTATCCCTTTCTGATATACTTAATTATATTGTGAATGATCAACTTTAAAGAGTATACCATCGAATGTTATTTCTATTAATTTGTTGAAATTGCCTCATCTATTTGAACAAAAAAATAAATATATACTATGTATTTATTTTCCAATCCTTTGTACTTCATATTTCACTTGATGCTACCGTTTTACATGCCGTTTATCTTTTAATAACTAGGGCGCTATTTTCGAGATCATTTTAGCCTGTTCTCTCTCCTTTAAGAGTCGAAATATTTAATTTTCTAACTTTATTCTCAAATAAGTATGGAAATTTAATGATCATATCTTCACAGAAACTATTAATGCTTATGAATGACTTTCCAACAGAGGCTGTAAAGAGATCATGAAACTGCGAAATTAGTTATTATTTTAAACATATCTTACGAAAATGGATGATTTGGTGGCATAATGGATATTATATTATGAGGTATTCATTTTTATTCGAATTCTACTTTTAACCGTAATCACATGGCGTTTCGCCTATCGCTGTAACTGACATAGACATCTAGAGCTTCAAACACCCGTGTTATCTATTTGTCAAAGGAATGGTTGGGTACTATAGAAATACAAGGTAAGATTATTAGATATGAAATAATTCTCGAAGTTGGCTCATAGTGTCTTCAGGGCAAGTAACGGTATGGCCAATAGTACGAGGATCCTCAAAAATTTCATAGTCATTGCCTCCGGTAAATGTTTTATCACCAAAGAAATGGATGGTTTCGAATCCCTCCTTCTGAACGTGTTGAAGGCAGTAAGTCTTGTCCCAGCCAGTAGGGAAGACATCAAAAGAAATTTGACCACCAATAGAGAAGGTTAAACCATAATCACCAAACTTCTCGCGCAAGGCATTAACCATATTCAAACGAATATTGTGAACTTTATCAAATTGCTCAAACTCCCGGCGCTCTTCGGTGCTAGCATTACGACCGATGGGAGAAATGTTAACCATACCATTACGGAATTCAACAAAGGTACCACGCTTAACAGGGATGTTCAAGTCAGCAATGTAGTGTAAACAGAAATTCACAAGCTTTTGGTATCTTTCTTCACCAATGTATTGGATAAAAGATTGACTGGCAAGCTGTTGACCATAACGGTAGGCGGTTAATCCATTTTCGGCAAAAGAATAATCGAAGGAATTAACCACATTCTCTCCGCTAACGCTGAGCTGCTCTTGTTGTTTGCTCAAGTCACTACCTCCGACAAATCCAACAGCAACAACTTGACGAAGCTTCTGCAAGCAGTCAAGCATTTCAGGAGAGATGTTCTAATATTGAATTGTTAGTACATATGGCAGCAAAATACGTTTTAGAAACCGGCAGCATCACAGAGAAAGCTACTTTCATTATATTTTTCGCAATGAAAATTTAACAAGCAATAACAAGAAAGAGAATGCCAGTTTTCATATTTTTGCATTTTTTAGATTTTTAAGTATCGACAGGTCCAACAGCCCGCCCCTCTTGACGCAGCAAACGAAAAATGTGTTGACTTACCAAACGTGAAGGAGTCAAAGTTCCATCAACATCAAATAAAACTAAGGTTTTTGGAAATCTGCGTTCTTCTATAGGAATGACGGCCATTTTTTTTACTTCAAAGATGTTTGTTGTGGGAAAGTTTGTTTTCAAGTTGACGCAGTCAACATACCCTACTGCGTCTGAAAATGATATCAAGTTTTGAGTCAAGGTACAATACTTTAAACAGAATAAAACAGAATTTTATTTAAGTTTCTGATTAATATTATTTGTAAACAAATTGGAATTCGGTACTCCAGATTCTCTTCATTCGTTGTTTTCATGTTTTATGTCCAACACAAAATTAAAGAAAACCAGCGTTTAAAGTAGCTAAAGTAGAGTAATAATTTATGTTTGCCCGTAGCAATATGATTATATGGCTTTACTCTCGCTAACAGTTAAGGTATAATCATTTGTTTAGTATAAATATATTTTTGAAGAATAATGCCTATACATAATATACGCATATGCTCTTATATCAAATCATATTGTTACCAGTGCTAACAGAACATTTGGATACGCAACATATTGTTTACGAAATGAAATAATAGAAACTGAGTTATGAACACTATGAAGGTTATATTCATTTATTGAAATAGTTTTAGGAAATAAAATAGAATTAAAAGCGAATAGAGTAGTAGTATTGAAGTTTTCTACACAGAGAAGTAAAAAAAATAAAAAATAAAAAAAAGCAATCGATATCGGATACTTCTAATAGGCGCATATCCTCATATCAGTAAAGATAGAATCAAAATATTATAAGAGCATATGTTATGCTACAATTACGTCCACTTATATTACTCAAAAATGTTATAATATGATAATTCATTTCTCTTAAATAAAAGCATACTTAGCAGTTCTTAATTAGGCAATTGAAATTCAGCTGCAAGTTTCTCACTCAATTTGGATACAAGTGTCAGCTTTAATAGTGAATGATGGTCATTATCGTTTACTGAAAGTATCATTCAAACAGCATACATTTCCTTGTTCTAAAACTACAATTGGTTCACACAAAATAATTAATTCTTATTGAAAGCTTAGTATAACGCGGTTTAGTAATAACAGTTTCATCGTTTGAAGATATTGTAATCATTGAGAACGAAAGATTTGATGAGCCAATTTCTTTTTTGATGCTTCTTTCTTTTTGTTTGATCTTTTGCCCGATACATCTTGGCAGCATGGAAAGAGAATGCAGCTTGCAGGTTTAGCATCCACAATAAACCCAGGAAGTTGGCTTTTTTCCTCTTCAGAGTAGAACAGGGATAATTTCCTTGCTGACTCCTCCTCGTTTATATTTACTGTAGGTTCTTTCTCGTTTATAAACAATACATATTCATCATCAACCAATTCTTTTGGTATTTCATTTAAATGTATCATGCTTGTTTTATCATCCTTTTGACTTGCATTTTCAATTGTCGTTTTGTTTATATATTGAAGAATATTTGTTTCATCAAGGGTTTCCATACTTTGTACACCAGCCCATTGAACGTTTTCAGGAATCAAAGAACGCTCTGCTTTATTTGTTATTTGAGGAGAATTTTCCTTGTCCTCTTCCGAGCGTAGCTTATCGCGGGAGGTACGTAGTTCAAAGCTAGACATGTAGACAATTGTTTGGTTATTCGTAAGTTTGTTTTGATCGTCGAACTGACCTTTATTTGATCTCGAGCTCGTTAAGCCTCGTTGAATCTCTTTGTTTTGTGCATCCAAAGTAAACATATGAATCTGGTTCTGAAGTATAAGTATTTCGTTTTCGTAAAAATGTAATTTTTCATTTGAAAGGCTCTGTATGGAATCAAGGTAGTAGTTGTATTTTTGCATCTGCACTTCGCGAAGCTTCTGTAGCTTTTGATTTTCCCTTTCCAAAAGTGAAACGTGTTTTTGTCGAACCGAGAGTGTTTTTTCAGTATTTTTCAGGGTCACTGTATCTTGTCTTTCTTGAAGTTTCTTCAGTAAGTCGACATTTGAGTTTTGCAAGGTCTCGAGTTGGACAGTTTGATCATGAAACTTTATATTTAGCGCTTTTATTTCTTGCAGACGAAGAGAAGAAGACGTGTTCCATTGCCTTTCTTTCTCATTTAATTCGTGTTCATATTTCTGACATTTATCAGTAAGAGACTCGGCCTTCACAGTTTGCCTAGCATGTTCAAACGTTAAATCCTTGAATCTTTTGACGCTTTCTTTAAGTTTCTCTTGAAGAGCATCAAATTTTGCACATTTTTCTTTCATGCTGTCATTCTCCTGAGTTACAGCATTTATTTCGGAATTTAATTTCTCGCTCTCTTTTTTGGCCTGTTCAATTCCAGTTTCCAATTCTTTCATTAAACCCTTTAGTTTTAAATTTTCACCAATTATAGCCTCCTTTTCGTCCTTTAATGTTGCGCATTCCCGCTGAGATTTATCCAAAGCGCTAGCAATTTCCTCGTACTTGGTTTCTAGGTTTATGTGTTGTTCGGGTAATTCATATTCACGGATTTTTTCATTTTCTTCTTCAATCTTCTTTAATAATTTCCTCTGTCTTTCGCTCTCTTCATTTTCTTCGCTTTCAATGACAGTGTGTGCTTCTTCAGGAATCGGCTCCAACTGTTTACGGCTTTTCAACTTCTTTTTTAAATCCGTGTTTTCTGCTGCAAAATCTTCTATCTCTTCTTTGTAATTCTGACAAGTTATCTCTAACTCCTCCAAGTCGTTTTCCAAAGCCATAATCTTTTGGGCCAATAGACCTTTTTCGACGTTGAGAATTCGGTTCTCTTCCTCGACTTTTTGACAATCATTTCTTATTATATTTATTGTTTTAGAGAGATTCTCGATGCTAGATTTTGTTAGTACGTCTTCTTCAGAGTGTTTCTCCAGTTGATACTGCAATTGTTCGGCTTCAAAATTTGCTCGATCGACACTTGCTATAAGTGCTTTCCTTTCCTTATATAAATGTCTATTCTCTTCTTCTTTGGCTTCCAAATCATCCTTTAAAATATTCGCATTGTGCTGATGTCTATAGTTATCTTCGGTGACAGAATTCAAATGCCGTTTGAGTCTGTCACATTGAGAAGATAGGACTGATTTTTCTTTATCCTGTTGCCTTATTTTAAGTTGATGCATCTTCTTTTCTTTCGTTAATTGAAATACGTCCATTTCCAATTCCTTTTGTTTATCTGTTATAGGCTTTATGCTCTGTTCTTGTTGAAAAATCTGTACTCTTAGACAATGTTCCATGTCTTTTAGGCTTTCATTTTCCTGCTTAAGAGCTTTGTTCTTTGAATCTGATACCTGAAACGCGTATTTTGAGCAAATTAGTTTGCATTCCACGTTAAACATGGCCTGATTCTTTTCTTGGATGAACTGAAGGACATTCTTGATGAGGTTTTCAATTTTCAAAACGGTTTGTACATCGGTTGTCTCAATACTCATCAAGCTAATGGCTTCGTCACTAGTAATAAGTTGGGTAATGTCCTTTACACGAGTACTTTCGTATTCTTCTGTCTTCTTTTCTATTAGACTTTGACATTGTTTATCTTTTATGACTTTAATTGTGGAAGTCATTATGAATTTTGCTGTATTAACCGGTGCATTGACTTCCTCTTAGGAATCTGGTTACTTTAACTTGACGACGACTATCGATAGAGTGTTTCTTTTTTCGAACAAGTATTTGATAAGTTTGGCTTTTGTTAAATGGAATGTTTACGCTCTGTTAACATTTCAGATGGAAGGATAAGCTCATGTAAACATAAATGTGTAAACAATAACAAACCTTGAGTACTGTTTCTCCCTTCCCTGTTCACATTATATATCACGTGGATTGACTTTTAAAAAGAGAAACTTCGTTTCAATTGTAATACGCTTACCGACCGACTTGTATATATGATCCATAAAATTCTCTTACAATGGTACACCAAGAAGATTAACTTGGCAGCAAAGACTGCTATCAAAATTTATCTATAAAAAATTATCTCTTTCGAAAATAAAGCATTCAATTCTATAGGAACATGTCACACACACTTTGTTTCAATATGATTGTACTGCAATCCAAATTGTGAACAAATAGATATATACATACAAAATAGCATTTAACGAATTCTAGTGAGGTTGAAGCTATATTGAATAATAAATCTTTCAACACCTAACCATAACCAAATACAGAATGGCAGGAAAAAGTATTGTTTCAGGTATAAAGAATGAGTTTTTTTTGGGAATTGAGCGCGTCTAACAAACAGGGAAACCTTGGAAAGCGGAGAAATCGGCATATCGTAGGTCAGGATTATCTGGTACACAAAAATCTTCATATGAGAAACGAATGGAAGAGAAAAGAAAGATAGACGAAATAAAAGAGCGCGAAAGGAAATTAAAAGAAGAAAAAGACGAGGAGAGATCTGTAAGTAAAATGATCTATAAAATTTTCGACTTATATTAACTAAGTTTTTAGGCACATGCTCAGAGGATTCGTGCACGCCGCGAAGCTAAAGCTGAAAAAGAACGAATGGAGCTTTTGCAAGCTAAGCTTCATCAAAAGGTCATTGATCGTCGGAGACGCAGAGAAAAGCGCAACAAAACGCTTAAAGAGCGGTGATTTTAATTTTGTCTTTTATATATATAATATTTTAATAAAAGGTTTTTGGTGGGTTTTTAAGCCTTTTTTATGCGTTTCTTTTAAGGAATTAATATTTTTGTTCTTGTTTTTGTGTAATTTCAACTAAAGGAGTAGAGTCCGGTAAAGCCGCTGGTACACCGCGGATATTGATTTCATCTACCCATTTTTTTTATCAAAGCTTATAGTATAAATGTTGATAATGTGAGAAATGAATGAATACTCTGCACAATTTTTTTTTTTTTCTTTTATTAAATAAAAAGGGGCCGAAATTTTGTGAATAATGAATCAGGAACTTATAGAACGTTTGTTTGAGCATGTAAAGCTCAGCTTAGATTTTTCCTACTGTCCATATTCAAAGTTTGCAGTAGGAGCTTGTGTATTATGTGAAGATGGAAAAACTTTCGTGTACGGTGCAAACGGTAAGTAATCTCCTCAAAAGAATTTAACTTACGTTATAGTTGAGAACGCATCTTATGGCGCTGGCGTATGTGCTGAGCGAGTTGCTATAACGAAAGCAGTGGTAAGTATAACTAGACAAAAATTTCAATTGACAAAAAATATATATAGAGTATGGGAAGGAAACGTTTTATGGCGTTAGGAGTTATGAGCGACAAAGGAAGAGTTACTCCATGCGGTATTTGTCGTCAAGTGTAAGTAAATTCAAGCAATTTTACAAATGTATTTACAGCTAACAGAATTCGCGAATTTTCCAAGGATATTGATATCTTTCTGTTTAATCCTGATGGTACTTTTCAGACGAAATCAATTGCAGAGGTTCGTGATACGAGTTCAGTTGAGATGAAACTAACTTCTGTTCAAGCTGCTCCCAGATTCCTTTGGACCCGAAGATTTGGAATAAAGTTTAGCAAAAGCCGATTTATTACGTCTGCAAACAGATTCAACTTTGAACCTCTTTCACGAGCATGCATGTTGTCGTAGTGTCATCGACTTTTCTATATAACGTGTTAGGAATGCTTTTACAAAATGAATTATCCTTACCCGCCACGATACTGAAATCCATAACTCCTTGCTGCTTTAGAAAACGGTGAATCCCATTTGGTATTTTTGGAATTTGTGACAGCAGTCTTGCAAATGGAATCAGCCAAAATTCTTGTAGAGTTTTCATTTTTAGTATTATTTGATAAAACCTTCTCAGCAACTTGCCGAAGTGACTCTGAATCTAGATTGTCGAACACTCCGTCTGTAGCTAGTATAATCAAGTCTCCATTCTGTAGTTGATGTTGAGTTAAGTCACTCATATTGGGAGTAATTTCATCCCTCGATGAGTAAGAAGACGGGTAAATAGCAAGTTGATAGGGCATATTAAATTGAAGAACTTGAGGAGTTGATTCATACAATATTGATCCGTCACGAAGGATTAAGAAACCAGAATCACCCAAACTATTAAACCCCGGTTAGTAAATGAATCAAAAATCACTAAACTTACTTTAGAGAATGAAGTTTACCTGATTGCTTGTCAAAAAGTGTGGCGCATGCTGTCGAGGAGCCAGCTCTTATACTCTTGCTTTTTTTTAAAGAATCAAAGGCGTTAGTCATAACAGAAAGGGGGTCAGGAAACTTATTGCCAAACTTTTTGAATTCCTTCTCAAGTTCTCGGATTAATCCCCAAGAGAACTTTGATGGGTCTATACCAATATTTGTCCAACCACCGACCCCATCTAATACAACGTTGAAAGCATATTTTGAGTTTTCTAGATTACTAAAGGCATCTTCTCCTGCATCTGGATGATCAAGATTTCCGGAACTTACGAACGAGGACGGCTTTTTTTGGAAACTAGTTGCTGAGCTAATCGTATATATAAAATTCTTCTTTATAAATAATACCGACTTCAAACGATTACCATGAAAAATTGGTTGTATTGACCTCGCCAAAATCATAGTGATTTTTGTGTATTATATACCTTTGTTGCTTCGTATGTAGCTTTGACGGTGAATTACACACAAACAACTTGTATATATATATAAAAAAAAAGCGATCTTTATTTTGCAAGTACGTAAAAAAGTTTTGGTTTGCGAGAAATATTTTAAGAAAATATTTATCACACTTTGAAGGCTGCGGTAAATTTTGGGACAAGGGCCACCTCTTTGTTTTCTTTTTTGTTTACTTGTGGGTACCATACACCAAGGCAATTAAAACTGTCGTCAAAACATTCTCCTTTTTTCTTCTGTTTATTAAATGTATACGAGACTTTCATTCCAAGATTAGCTATAGTTATATAAATTTGACCCGGATGAAAGAAAAGCATCTCACTGTAAAAAGTTAATTCAATTTCATTTATCAAAAAATAACGAAGGAGTTTTTGCACTAACCATAGAGTGCTTTAGCTGATCAGAATTGACCTAAATTTTCGTTGATTTTTTGTATCTCACATGTTATAAGAGATTTTTGTGTGTACTCATTAAAAAACATGAAATTAAATAGCTACATAAACAAATTTCATATACAATTAGTAAATTTTGGTCTAAAATAGAAATGGATTTTTGTTTTATAAACGACGATTTATTCATCTCATTCTACCACCAAAAGCTGATGTGTACAAAGATATATATAATCTTTTACCGATACCTAAGGGAGATCGGTTGCAGACAAGGTTCATCGAAGTATTTCAGCCAATAGATCCTTGACTTTAGTTATCTACAGCCAATTATTTACCGAGAAATAGAAATGACGGATATTATAAAGAAAAGTATTTGCTCTCGAAAGAACTTGGTTACCTTTACGTCCTATACCAAATTTAACGAGATTTAGTTCACATTAACACCAATGATGGCGGCATTCACTCTTCCACCATCTCCCCCTCTAAAGAATGCATCGATTTCAAACGATAAAAACGGCGATAAAAAAAGGTGGAAATACAAGATTATTTTCAACAAATGTTTGTTTAAGAAAGATCCAGTCTACTCAGGTATGTCAGTATAAACTTTTGGCTCTTCTGATGTATCAACAACTCATCCGGTACTGTCCGTTCCTGGTTTAAGCCCTATTTAAAGATATATGTTGAAGTCTTCTATTTCAAAATGCAGGTTTAACTAACATTAACAGCCTCTACGTGCTAAACAATCCTCTACCCCCGAACAAGTCAAGTATCCGATTGTCGACCACACTTATGATGCAATCGTTGTAGGTGCAGGAGGTGCGGGTCTTCGTGCTACTTTTGGATTAGCTGAAGCAGGATTCAGTACAGCTTGTATAACCAAATTGTTTCCTACCAGATCCCACACCGTCGCAGCTCAAGGTGGTATTAATGCCGCTTTAGGTAATATGACCAAGGATGATTGGCGTTGGCATTTTTACGACACTGTTAAAGGCTCAGATTGGCTTGGTGATCAGGATGCTATTCATTACATGACTAAAGAAGCACCAGAAGCTGTTTTGGAGTTAGAACATTTTGGTGTTCCTTTTTCTAGAACTAAAGACGGAAAAATCTATCAACGTGCTTTCGGTGGTCAATCTTTGGAATACGGAAAAGGTGGTCAAGCTTATCGTTGCGCTGCTGTTGCTGACCGTACCGGGCACTCACTTCTTCACACTCTTTACGGACAATCTCTTCGTCATAACACCAACTTCTTTATTGAGTACTTTGCCATGGATTTACTCATGGAAGGTGATGAATGCCGTGGTGTCATTGCTATGAACCTTGAAGATGGTAGCATTCACCGTTTTAGAGCTCACAAAACCGTTCTAGCTACTGGTGGTTATGGTCGTTCCTATTTCTCTTGTACCTCTGCCCACACCTGCACTGGTGATGGCAATGCTATGGTTTCTCGTGCCGGACTTCCTTTACAAGATCTTGAATTCGTCCAATTCCATCCCACAGGTATTTACGGTGCTGGATGCTTGATCACTGAAGGTAGCCGTGGTGAAGGTGGTTTTTTGCTTAACAGCAAAGGTGAACGATTCATGGAACGATATGCTCCTACCGCTAAAGACCTTGCTTCTCGTGATGTTGTTTGTCGTTCAATGACTCTTGAAATTCGTGAAGGTCGCGGTGTTGGCCCTGAAAAGGACCATATCTACTTACAACTTTCACATCTCCCAGCTGAGATCTTGAAGGAACGTCTTCCTGGTATTTCCGAGACTGCCGCTATTTTTGCTGGTGTTGATGTTACTAAAGAGCCTATTCCTGTCTTACCAACCGTTCACTATAACATGGGAGGAATTCCCACCCGCTATACTGGTGAGGTCCTTACAATTGACGAGAATGGAAATGATAAAGTTGTACCTGGTTTGTACGCTGCTGGTGAAGCTGCTTGCGTTTCAGTACATGGTGGAAACCGATTAGGCGCAAACTCTTTGCTTGACATTGTTGTTTTTGGAAGAGCTTGTGCTTTACACATCAAGGATACTTTGGAGCCAAATACTCCACACAAGCCCCTAGCTGCCGATGCTGGCCTTGAATCCTTGGATTTCCTTGATAAGGTCCGTACTTCACAAGGTCCCATACATACTAGTGAAATTCGCCTCAATATGCAAAAATCAATGCAGAGAGACGTTTCTGTCTTCCGTACTGAACAAACTCTTGAAGAAGGTGTTAGAAACATCGAAAAGGTTGACAATACTTATAGTGAACTGGGTATTAAAGATCGTGGTTTAATTTGGAATACTGATTTAATCGAAGCATTGGAATTGCGTAACCTTTTGACATGTGCTGTTCAAACTGCCCATGCAGCTTTGAATCGTAAAGAATCTCGTGGTGCCCATGCTCGTGAAGATTATCCCGAAAGAGATGATGGAAAATGGATTAAGCATACATTAACCTGGCAAAAAAATACGACTGACCCTGTTACCTTGAAATACCGTGGTGTCGTCAATACTACAATGGATGAAAACGAAGTTAAAGCTATTCCTCCATTTAAGCGTGTCTATTAAGCGGCTTTTTTCCAGGAGAATCAATTGGATTTATCTAGTTATTGATAGTATAATTTTAAGTGTTCACCTGCTATGAAATCGAAAATGTGATTTATGATTCTTATTTGATTTGCTGGCGATAATCTGTATATCTTCATTAGGGCATTGAGTAGCAAGTATATATATGTATCTAAAAGAATAAGAAACATAAATGATTTTGTAAACAATTCACCCTTTTACCTTATTTTTTATAGTATCACGTAGTGAAAACTCGATGTAATTCGTTAAATACGAATGTTATACACACATTCAGAAATACGCGTTATTTTGTTCTGTTAATAAAGTTCGAATTGTAAGTAATCCACCATTGCTTTTGAGGATAATCACTTTTTTATTTATGTTTGCATTTCTACGACAATAAAACATATAAATTCACAAGATGTCTTGCATTGACAAGATGTCCATTATGGGCATTAGATCTTTCGATAGTCGATCTAGAGAAAGTATTCAGTTTTTTTCTCCTTTGACATTGATCGTTGGTCAAAATGGGTCAGGGAAAACAGTAAGTGATTACCTTTATTTCGTGATTTCTAATTTTAAGACAATCATAGAATGTTTGAAATATGCTACAACAGGATTGCTTCCTCCAAACACGAAAGGTGGAGCCTTCATTCATGATCCGAAGGTAAGTTCATATACACGGAACATTATTGCTTATAACTATAGCTGTGCGGTGAAAAAGAGGTACTCGCACAAGTGAAACTCGCGTTTAAAAACACGAATCAAATAAAAATGATATGTACGCGATCATTACAATTGTTAGTAAAAAAGGCCACAAGGCAGCAGAAAACCCTTGATGGGCAGCTATTGATTGTCAATGACGGTGAGCGCAGTACTATCAGTAATCGATGTGCTGAGTTAGATTTACAAGTACCTCTAAGTCTCGGAGTCAGTAGAGCACTATTAGATTATGTTATATTCTGTCACCAGGAAGAAAGCTTCTGGCCTCTGAGTGAACCCTCTAACTTAAAAAAGCGGTTTGATGAGATTTTTGAATCTATGAAATATGCGAAAGCCCTTGAACAGCTAAAGAATGTAAGACGTGAGCAAGAAAATCAGATTAAAGTTGATCAAGCCAACTTGGTGCATTTCAGGTCGGATAAAGAACGGGCTGAAAAGATTAGGATGCAACTTCACAACACGCAAAAACGCATCTCATTTATAAACCATAGGATTCAAGATTTGGATCAAATGATATCCGAGACAGCAAAATTACAAGATGAGTTGTTCAGATCCACTGAAGAATATGAACAAAAAGAAGTCGCCATATCTCAGTTGGAAAATCACTGTGCTTTTCTGAAATCAAGTGTAGAAGACTTAAAGATCCATATGGCTGAAATGAATGACCCTACCGAAGAATTGGAAGAGTCATCTAGGAATTTTAATGGACAAGTAGAAACCGAACAGAAGCTTCTTTTGGAACTTGAAAATAACAAGGCTTCAACCGAAATTCAGATAACAGAAAACAGGAGAAGGTTGGAAACCCTCTCCGCAAGTTTGGGACGTGCTGAAGGAGAGCTAGTTTCGCTGGAACGAACGAAGCGTAGAAAGCAGGAAACTTTAGAGAATATCGCTTCCTCACATGAGTTCTCGGAACAAGATGAAGACAAAATCATAACAAAATACCTTGAATATCTGGACTCAAATATATCCGAAAGTGATAGAACTATACAGTATACACGAGATAAAAGAAAAGAAAGAGGTGCTCGAATTGAGGGCCTTAAAGCTCATGAATTGTATATGCAGAAAACCATTACAGGTTTGGAAAGTTCTATAAGGAATAATGAAAGCAATATGGAAAGTATTCAGTCACGTGTTCAAGACCTTGAACATATGGCTCAAACGAGGGATGCTTTATTAGAAGAGATAAAACAAGGGGAAAGAGAATTCCAAGATGTGAGAAAGGAGTACGAAAGAAATGAATGGCATATAAAGATCAAGGATGAAAAAACGAAAATACATGACAACGAAAAGAAACTTGAAAACTTTGCTTCATGTATTGATAAGTTTCATGACAATGCCAACGTCCACTCAAAATTACAGCTGTTAGTTGAGACGAAAGGAAAATTAATGGCTAGTGCAGAAGAAGCCCATGAATTTTTCAAGCACCGGTTCTTTGAATTAACCTCTCTTGATGTTCATGCCGTCAGTGAATTTGATGAAAAACTAAATTCTTCTTTACAAAACTCACAGGTATCTGTAGATGCTATAAAGAAGAAACAGAATTCCGCGAATGCTACTGTTGTTGAACTTGAATATAAAGTTAATACTTGTCGAAAAGAATTATCAGATCTGGAGTCTCGAAATAATGAAAAGGCTCAGTTAACTCAATACTTTTCGATCAACTTGGATGAACACCATGAAAATATTCAAAAGTTAGACTTAGACATCGAGGATAGCAAACGTACAGCTCATTCTCTACAATTTGGTATAAGCTTCTACGAAAAGGCAATTCAGATGTCTAATTCACACCATGCTTGTCAACTGTGTCAAAGAATGTTCGAGCATGATGAAGAAGCTGCCTTTGTTGAACATTGCCGCTCAATGATTGAAAATATTCCGGGGAAATTGTCAGAGGTAACCGAGCAATTGAATAGCTTGAATAAGAAAAGAAAAGAGCTTGGTGATATAATTCCCCTCATTGAGGAAGCAAGGTCAATAAAAAATTCTATAAAAGAGAATTTGGATACTTTAACTACAACAGAACAACAGCTTGGAAATGCAAAAGAGCAAGCTGTCGCTTTAGATCTTGAAGTAAGAAATATTGACGCAAAGCATGAGGAATTGGAAAATCTAAAAATGAAGTTGTCCGATATTAAGCGTCTAAATGAAGAAATTGAAAAGTGCAATAAACACATTTCAGAACTGCAGGCTGAGCTATCACCCTCCTACAAAGAATTAGATATTAACCAAATTACTCTTGAGCGAAAAAAGGTGGCTGAGATGAACAAAACCGCAAACACGAATTTAGAAAAAATTACTTATGAAGAGGCCAAGCAAAAAAGGGAGCTTGACAAAATAAATCTCGCTAATAAAGACAGGGAGGTCAGGTTTTCAGATCTGAAACTCAAAATCAATGAGTTACATCAACTAGAAGTTGAAATTAAAAACTGTTGTGAAAAAAAGATAAAGATGGAAAGGGATCTCGAAGAAAGTAAACAGTCCTGCGAGGAACAGCGTCCATTATTCAACAAACTCAATGAAGAAATGCGTAGTTTGGAGAACGAGCTTGAAAGAAATGAAGAAAAAAGCCGATCACTGCTGCAGGATAAGAACATTTTTCTTCAACAAGTTCAAGATTGGGCTAGAGAGTTGCAAATTGATATAAAGTCTGAACTAGAACGTTTAGTAAAAGAGAAGGACAGTCTTCATCGAACAATTGAATATGATTTATCCAAATTGGATACTTTCACCCAAAAGATAAAAAATATTCAGGAAAAATTGGCTGATTTGCGTTCTAGAGAACGGAACATTTCTGACAATTTACGCCTTCGTCGATTGCATAGTCAGTTTGTGGAAGCTTTAGAAAGAAAAAATAATCTGAAGTCTCAACAAACACAGAGTAATAGGCAGGCTTTCCGTAATGAAATGGAGTCTTTGAAAATGCAATATGGAGCGTTAAACGCTGAGCGTGCTGGTTTACTAGGCGAGTGTCGACAACTTGATTCTAGTGTTAAGCAATTAACTCAAGATTTAAATCTCGAATATAAAGATTCAGATGAACGTTATCGCCGTCAATTAATTAAAACGAGGACGACTGATAAAGCCAATGATGATATTGGGAAATATGCGAAAGCTCTAGATATTGCCATCATGCAACTCCATTCATTAAAGATGAATGAAATAAACAGAATCATAGATGAGTTATGGAAACAAACTTATTGTGGTACAGATATTGATACAATCTTAATTCGCTCAGACGCTGAAGGAAAGGGAAACCGCTCTTATAATTATAGGGTAAGTATTTTAAAATTCGGTTTTTTTATGCTAACGTATAGGTTTGTATGGTAAAGGGGGATGCCGAGTTAGATATGAGGGGACGATGCAGTGCTGGTCAAAAAGTTCTAGCCTGTATTATAATTCGACTTGCTTTAGCAGAATGTCTAGGAGTTAATTGTGGAATTCTAGCTCTGGATGAGCCTACAACGAATTTAGACGAGGAAAACATTACCAGTTTAGCGAAAAGTCTGTCGAAAATTGTCGATTTTAGAAGGAGACAAGCAAACTTTCAACTAATTATTATTACTCACGACGAGCAATTTATCCGTTTGGTTAATACAGACGCGTATTGTGGTTATTATTATAAAGTTAAAAGAGACGCTAATCAAAAGAGCATTGTAAGTATCTGAATTATTTGATAGAAAACAAGAACTAACCGAATATCAGATTGTACGAGAAACGATGTAAGCATTCGAGCTGCTTTAGATTAATTGGAGTACTGGAGTTATGATATATCAGAAGTGCACGATTTTATCAGAGAAAAGTAGATAACAAATAAAAATCATCTGAAATAGGATCTTATAAAAGTTATTATTGTTATTCGTCTAATTTTAATTTTCGGTCCAAACTATTTGCAAACAGTATGTTTATTTTGGGCTATAGCGATAGACAAAAGCAATCTCAAGAGCTTTTAATACCATGGGGAACGTAAGTATCTCTCAATTCTTTGATTCTTAGAAAATTAATCCTATAAGAAAGGTAAGAATTATCCACGGTCTTTGTCGTCCACTTGCACAATACTATACAGCGCAAAGGAGCTGCAAAGAAAATAGTTAACAAACAGAATGCTAGGGTAATTGTCAAACATTCAACTTTTATCTATTGCATAAGTCAGCCCTGATGTCTTTAAACCAAGTATTTAATAACTTACAGCAATAGGGAGTGATTCACATGCATCGGAAGTGCTAATAAACCTATGCGCAGATTTGGCTGTGTGCCCTAAGAGAGAAGCAAGAAGTAAAAAGACGGTAATGAATTTTGTTCTCGACGACATGCTTTCATTTAGGATAATAGGCAAATAATATTAAATAAAAACGCAAATTGAAAGTATTCTGTTGTTGAAATCAAAAGGTTTACCAATAAATTAATACCTGAAAAGTAAGAGGGAGGTTGTGCTAATTCTTCAGATACGTCTAAGTCTAGTACAAGCAGAACGAATACGGAGATACTCCTCATTATTTGTGTTATTCTTAAATTAATTCAGAAGTTATTATTTTTTTGTTATTATTTTTTTCTTTTTTTTTTAATACTGGAATAGACTTTTCCATCAGTTGTAATGTTGATTAAAAGGGCCAAAAATTAAAAGTGCTGTAAATGTTAGACATGGGTGTTTAATTGTGCATTTCTTTCGGTGTTTTTCATGCCTTAGTATCTTCAACTACCTGTATATTTTTTTATTCAACATTTAAATGATTTATACTATGGATACAGCGACTTAAAACTAACTAGATAGATATGTTTTACAGTTTCTTATATTCATACAATTAAATCCGTTGTGGTCCAACGGCTAGGATTCGTCGCTTTCACCGACGCGGCCGGGGTTCGACTCCCCGCAACGGAAATGTTTTTGATTATAGTTTTGAGCCATCAATCTGTTTCAACCCATGAGGAGGGTAACATACATGGGATTCCTGGACATTATAAGCTACCATTCCGCGTCTCTAATGCTTTCGCTTTAAACAAGTCGTTTACTACTAAGCTTCTTTTCATAGGTGCATTACGAAAGTTATACTACGAGGAACTCTGTAGATTCATTTAATTCATTAGATCTTTGCTTATTATAAGCTATTATAGGCAATTAGAAGCTATTAGAGGTTCTATTATAACGCTTTAATAATTTCCCATTACAAAATGTTTCGTCATAAATTCGTACGCATCATAAATTTCCTTCCTAGATTCAGTTGATGGTAATTTTCTTCTTCGAATGAGATTGTTCCATCTTGGGCAAGATGATGCTTAAAACTCCATTGGTGAATTGGGCTTCAACGCGGTCAGAATCAATGTTGGTCGGGATGCTGATTGTTCGAGAGAAGGAACCAAAGCGACGTTCGGACCATCGTTGGTTTCCTTTATCGCCTTCGTTGTTGCGTTCATTCAACGATTCACCAGAAACGGTAAGTTTTCCTTCGTCGTAATGGACTTGAACATCTTCTTTTTTGACACCAGGAAGCTCTACATCAACGGCAACAGTATCTTTGCCTTCGTGAACATCAATGGCAGGTGATAAATCGAAATTGCGATTTTGACGTTGAAGGCGGGGGGAATAACTCAAAAAGTCAGAAAACGCGTCTTCGAATGGATGCAATTCAAAGAAGGGTTGAAGAGACATTTTTATAAATAACCTTAAGAAATCGGATTCGCTTGCAAGGGTTTAAATAATAAGCAATAAGCAATAAGCAATAAGAAAAAAGCAATAAGAAAAAAGAAAAAAGAAAAAAAGCCTCTCAATTCTTTAACTTTTGTTGTCGTTGTCCAAATTACATTTGCTGCTCTCATATTTATACTTGAGCAGGACGGATTTTGAACCTTCCACAAGAATCAGCTAGTACTTT